GAAAAAAGCCGAGCCGGAAGTGGTGCTGTGGCTCAAGTGGTAGAGTGCTAGCCTTGAGCTGAAGAGCTGAGGGACAGCATCCAGGCCCAGAGTTCAGGACCCACGACCAGACTCAAAAAAAAAAAAAAACTAAGCATATAAATAAAGTAAAATAAACCCTCAAAGAAACAACAACCTAATTAATAAATGGACTGAAAGAGAGACCTAGTGGATTTAAAGAGAGACTTCTCTGAAGAGGAAATAAGAGGAAATGGCCAATAGATACATGAAGAAATGCTTGAGAATGCTGGTCATAAATGAAATGCAAATCAAAACAACATTGAGCTTCCACCTCACCCCAATGAGAATGGCCATATTCAATACAATAACCGATGCTGGCGGGGATGTGACCAAAAGGGAATGTTACTACACTGTTGGTGGGAGTGTAAACTTGTTCAACCACCCTGGAAATCAGTATGGAGGTTCCTCAAAAGACTACACATATGACCCAGCAATTCCACTCCTGGGTACTCATCCAATAGATCCCCTTTCTTAATTTGGTATTATATGCATTGAATTTTATGACTGTATTTCCTCCATCCCTTCCTCTCATCATTCAAATGAACAAGGTTTTTCATTCAGGAAAAAAAAATTGTTATATTTGGGTTATCTTGGCAGTAAGCTCTATTTTTTGGTGCCAGTCCTGGGGCTTGAATCAGGTCCTGGGAGCTGTTCTTGAGCTTTTTGTGCTCAAATCTAGAGCTCTACCACTTAAGCCACAGCTCTACTTCTAGCATTTTGCTGGTTAATTGGAGCTGAGTCTCACAAACTTCCCTGCCTGATCTGGATTCAAACCTCGATCCTCAGATCTCAGCCTCCTGAGTAGCTAGTATGATACATGTGAGCCCCCAGGTCTCTATTTGTATGCTTTAATAATATAAATGAAGATCTAACTTGCTTAGAAGAGCTTGAGGAAGAAAAGCAAAGTCTAGAGCTCTAGATCTCCATTTTCAACACCATATTAGATTAATTAGAAAACTTCATTTATGGTTAACTTGTAACACTGGTCCATGTTTGGCCTGCTTTGAACTATCTGATCAGTTAATGTTTTTTGTATGTTAAAAGCCCCTGTGAACAGACTGCCCAAAATGAAAGCACAAAACCTGAACAATTATCTATGTCTAATCCCTCAGGGCCACTCATATTTGAACCAACCCATAAGCCTCCCTCACTTACTGTAGTCAATAACCTAAATCTTGTGTTCATGATTCCTTTGACTTCCTTGTATTTAAGCTAAGCACCATAAATTCATGACCAGTCTGAAGATAGGATTCCTGCCGGACTAGAAACATAAGGAGAGAAAGAGCTGTTAAAAATCAAGCGTTTTGCCCCCGGGTAGAAACAAATAGCTTCTTCTCTTCAAGGCACTTTGTCATGCCTCAGGAAGGAAAACCAACCCAGGATTTTCTCATTAAATTCCACTGTTTTTGCTTTTTCAAAATGTACCAGTATTCTATCTTTCTCCCTTTCCTAAGTACTCCTGAAATGAAAGAATTAGCAAGGAGGGGAGCCTAGGGATGCTGAAGCAAAACCAGAATCCACAGCACTGAGAGGCTGGCAGCATGTGTCTGCCAGCTCCAAGCTACAGTCTTGAGACAGGCATGCTTCCCCAAGACCCAGTCTTCTCAGCTTCCTCCCTGGCCCTCTAGATACCCTGCAGGCTTCTAGCATCACAGAGGCCCTGGAAGCATGTTGCATATAGCGTGTGAGGATGGGGATGCGGAGGTTTGCTCACAGTGAAAATAAAATCTATGCTACATTGAGGCTCAGGCTGGTGTTTGAGGCCCAGACTAGCGATTCCCCTTGCCGGGCAGGACTATGCTCACAGGTAACCATATGATCCTACCTATACTACAGCTATGCATGCATTGACCACTAACTTGTGAGGGCCCCTAGCAATCACCTAGTTGACATCTTCTAAAATACATAATACAAGAACTAGGCTAGGATGGTTGTAGTGAACAGATCTGACCTTCAAAATCAGCTCAGAATTAAGAAGATTTGAGGAACACTCTAAAAAGAGTGTTATGACTGTATTTCCTCCATCCCTTCCTCTCATCATTCAAATGAACAAGATTCTTTTCTACATACTTTCAGAGAATCTCATCTCCAAGAGGGTCCTATTTTTTTTTCTACCTTGGATCTATAATCTTCAGCCAGTTATATCTAAATTCACCTAATACAGAATAATAATGCCCACCCCAGAAGAGTGCTGTTAAGGTTAGTGAGATAAGCCCAAAAGCATTTAGTGTAATAGTACAGATAGAATCTATTGTCAAATTTTAGTTCTGTTCTCCCATGGCCTTTCATTTTTCTTTCCATTTTTTTCCCAGGTTTAGCTAATCGCCCTTACTTACAACAGTAAGCTTATTTTAAATTGATTTTTAACAGATTTTTACTAATGTCAGGGTAATTATGTATGTGGTAAAGGATCCCACACAGCTTCCCTGAAGGCTGGGGGACCCTCTGGGAATGTGATAGATTTCTTCCTGTAGATTTCGGTGTGGTAGATTTCTTCCCACACACTGTGAGCGAGAAATGGGTTCTTACAGCTCAAGTGACAGCTATGCTGCCTCCTGAATTGCCAAGAGACAGACACATCTTGAAGTTCAAACATACAGTGCAAATGCATCATCCACCCGGCTTGGCAGCTGGCTTAGTGCCAGGGATTCTGGGCCAGGAGGCAGAAACTTCTCTCCTGCTCTTTGTTCACTAAGAGCCTGAATTTCCTCAGTTGAAACCTGGCCTTGGAGCAATCTCCACATTCTTTTCACATAATTTATGCCAATTCTCATTTTAAAGGGTACTAGTTGGGATATATCCATCTAAGAGGCACAATCCACACACACAAATGATACTTTATTGAGACGAGTAATTTACAATAAAGTGCTCTTTACACTACATTGAAGAAACCTGAGTTTCACAAAATTCCCATGCACAATTACACATCACCATGTGCTCTGAGGCATACAGGGAGCAGAGAGAAGGGGCAGACATGAGTAACTGGAGGCCCTCAGGCCTGAGTCCGCTTTGCTCTGTGCCTGGGCATTATTATTATTTCTACATAGGCATGAAGAAACTTTCTCCATCAGTCTCAAGGCAAGAACATTTTTCTTTATTCCTGCTGCATATTCTCACTCTGGTTTACAAATTTCTATAGCAGCATTAAAGTGAAACTCATAATTACTTCTTCCTATCCTAAAGACAATAAAGACAGAAATGTGAGCCATTTAGCCTGAAAATTTCACTTTGGGAGCCCTCTGAACTTCAAAAGCACTCTCTCCCAATGAATATCTTCTTTTCAAAAACAGCTGTTCAGAAAATAATTTTTAATTGTGTATCTTGAAGGTCTTCTGTCATCCTTATGAATAGACCAGGACATTCCATGTTTCATCGTAGGGAAGGAAGTGATGTAACCAAGTTCTGATTCTATTCATAGCCAAGCACTCTAAGTGAAGCTTGGACACACCCATACTTCTATAAACCTCAGTTTCTCATCCAGCTTCACATGAAATGCCTTGCTTCTAGGAACTTTCTGGAGCTAAACCCAGTACAGTACAGCAGTTGTTCAGAGAACAAAACTGTTTTGCCTGCTCTCACGCATGCGTGCTCTCTCTGTCTCTCTCTCTCTCTCTCTGTCTCTCAGTCTCTCTCTGTCTCTGTCTGTCTCTCTCTGTCTCTGTCTCTGTCTCTGTCTCTCTCTCTCTCTCTTTCTCTCTCTCTCTCTGTCATACCATAAAAACTCAGGACTAGATAGAAGCTGATGAGAACATTCAGTCTCTGGAATGAGATTTCTCTAGCAAGTGGCCCTTAAAAGGAATAAGGTTTCTTTGAGGATACCATAGGTATTAGGAAGTGACATGTGAATTGCTAAGGTGATATTGGCTGTCTTCTTTCAGGAACTGGTGTGGGGAAAAAAAAAATCTCATTAATCAGACTGCAGAGAGATAGCCTGTCTAGACAGCTTGGGTGGATGAGGTGTGCAAGCATGATTATTTCCAGCATGATGGAAAGTAGGCTTCTCATCCACTATGAAAGTGGAGGAATGTGTCAGCCTTTCTTGTCTTTGCGTGATTGCAGAAAAAAGGAAATACATTTTCTAGCTGACCTGTACCATGGTTCATTGCGATAGCATCTCCTCGAGAGAGAGGGACCTCATTCAGTCCTGCTCACCACTGGCCACACAATAGAATGGGTCCTGTTGACTTAGCAACCTTCACCTAGAGTTCCCCTGGAAGCCATTCTTCAGTGCTTCTAGTGGACACCACTTGAACACTGCTGAGAAGTACTCTGTTATGCCTATTTCTCTTGTTGGTTATTAGAATGTAAATAGAAAATTACAGTTCAAAAGTTTAGGAGGTACACACATGCATATGCGCAAAATCACAAGGAGACATATATACAAAGGGGAAAAGTCACAAATAAAGCCACAAAATGACCACACATGGTTTGGTTGGGTTTAATCATTTCCTTTACAATTTTCTGAACTGTTCAAAATGGTAATAAATGTTTTTGCTTGTATTTAGGGAACATAAGTGAGTTCTTATAAGTTGGACTTGTGATTCATCTCGGCACAGTGACTTCAAAGGGTAAGGCATGAGGTCCTCGGTATGAGCACTAACCTGCTGACATTTCTCTGGCCAGTGAACCAGCCCTTTGCAGGGCCAGGTGCATGGGTCAGCCACAACTAGAGTCTCAGACTTCCACAGTAGAAGGGCGGGGAGGCAGCTTCTGACAGAAGCAGCTGACTGATTCTGCCATTGTCAGAGCTAAGATTGCCTTAAGTCCTTTTGCTCTGAAATCCAGGTGCTACACCTCACAGCATTTCTTAGAGATTTATTAACTGGTGCCTCGTGGTTTACTCATTACACGGGGCTAGGAATCCCTACAGTCCTAGGAACTCTGTTTCCAGCACTGTGAAGATTGGCCAGGACCCTCTCCCTGTCTCTTCTCAATCTCTCCTAATTCATCACCACAACTGGTTCCACGGATGACAGATCTGTCTTCCCAGATTGGAGCTGGGTAGCAGGCAAGAGGTTACTGGCTAGCAGAACCCTCCGACCATGGCTCTTCTCTGTCCACGCCACCCTGAAGGAAGGCACTGGGGAGGGCATTCTTTCTTCTTGAGGCTTGGGAGGCCTTTGACACATGCGCAATAATGCCTTTAGCTCAACCCTGAAGTTCTCGTTCAGCCAGCAATAGATGAAGGGGTTGTAGCAGGTGCTGCTCATGGCAAACCAGTGGAAAGCAAAGTAGAGCGCATTATTGGTGTGGATGACCTTGCTGGAGAGGAGGAGGACATAGCAATTGAGGGGGAACCAGCAGAGGGCGAAGAGGACTACCACCAGCATCAGCATCTTGATGGTCTTCTTCTTTTTGCGCCGCAGAGCAAGGTACTGCTCCGTGGTCACATCACCAATTGCATTGCACAGCCACAGCTTCTTGGCCACGCGCGTGTAGGCCACAGAGATGATGACGAGGGGGAGGATGTAGAGCAGGATAAAGGTGGCTAGGTCCAGGTACTTCCAGAAGAGGTCGGCTGGCTCTGGGAAGTCTGGCAGGCATAGTGAGCGTACAGTGTCCTCGCTGGGGACAGGAAGGAGAGGGAGAGAGGAGATACAGATGGGAAAGGCTTCCTCCTAAGAAGTCTACCTCTTCTTCCTGCCTGCCTGTCTGTCTAATACAGCACTTTTAGAGCCATGGGTTAATTATCTGCTCATGTTTCTGGTTCTCCACAAGGCTGGGTGGTTCAGGTAAGAGAGATCCCTGATCTCTAGGCATTTACACAGAGTGGGATGAAAGGAGGATATTCTTAGGAGAGAATTACATAGGCTCAATAGCTATGTGCTATGTGCTATTTTTCAAAATGAACTCCAGGAAATGAAAACAAGAGAGACTTGGGATGCTGTAGTTGTTTTCATTTCCTTTTGTCTTGTTGGTTCATTTATCTATCTTTGGGAGGGTAAGGAGAGGAAAAGAAATGGAGGGACAAAGGGTGAACAAATACAGCAGTGATACTCACTAGACACTATGTTGAAAATAAACTATACAACTTATAGGTGAGGACTGGAGGGAAAAAACTGAGAGAGAGCAAGGGAAAGGATGACATTGTCCAAAGAGAAATGTACACTTTAACTGGATTGCGTAACTGTAACCCCTCCGTATATCACATTTATAAGAACAATATGTGTTTTTTTGAAAATGAAAGATCCCTGAATGACTTCATGTCCTTTAACCTTGCATGCTCCTAACCCACAATAAAGACCCCATAGGTATTTGTTGAGTAAATGAATGAATGAAGCAATAGTGTCCTACCCTGAAAACTAGTTCATTCACGAAAAAAAAAATGTTAGAATTTGCCATTGTTCTAGGGTCTCCTTCCCAAGGGAAGCTGAAATGTAATTAAGACAATGATAGACTGAGAATATGAGTAGGAAGACCTGACCAGTAAATGGAACTTCAGCCATTCATATATAACAATATTATTATATATAGAATGTGCCCTGGACCTCTTTGCCATTCTTATATGTGTGCTTATGGCTTATAATATGTGCTGGTGTCATTACTGGCAAAAGAAAGAGGAAACTCCCTTTCCTTTTGTTAGAAGCAACAAAAGTTAGTCTTTAAGATGTGAAGGAAAACGGGAAGTGTGAAGGTTGATGGTCTGATTACGTGATTCTTTCCAATGTTCTGGAATTTGTGGAGGAGCATTCAGAAACCCACCCAAACTCTAGACTCTGCTTTTGTCACCAGCGTGAGTACAGTTGTCTTTTCTACTTCAATGCCCCAGAATTCTCGCGTGTGTGTGTGTGTGTGTGTGTGTGTGTGTGTGTGTACTATGGCCTAACTTCATGGACGTGTACTCATGTTTGGCTTTTTCATTCACAGATGGTACCATGCCAACCGCACCTCTACTTCCATCTCAAGATCCTCGTTGCCAGTCAGAGCACCAGCCTCCAACTCCTGATGAGCACAAAGAAAGAGCTAGCACACAGGACAACCCTGAGCCAATGACAGCTCTTCCATAGACTCAAGAAGAGAAGTGGCTGGCAGTTTCCATTTCCTCCAGCAAGCTTAGAACCAATCGCTGAGGGAAGAATGTGAAAGCCTGGCTTGCTTGGCTCGGTGCCAGTAAAGTAGGCCAGCCACATTGCTCTAGAGCCCCAAATGGCACTCACTGATACCTCTTCTCCTAAAATTCCATTTTGGCTGGTCTCTCCCTCTCTTGCTCTCGTCTCCCTACTTCCTCACTCATCACTTGTGGGAGTTCGGACACACTTGGATGTGCACCTGCCTCCATCCCAACACCTGTTCTGAAGAAATCTCACCTGCAACTGTAAAATGCTGAGATCACTCTAAGCTCATTCACCATTTCTTTAGTGAATATGAATGAGGGTTCATAATGTAGAAATAGTACACAAGGAGTTGGGATCACCTAGGTATCAGCTCAGAAACAAGCCACGTCTTCCTTAACTTTGTCTAATAGGTTTTAATTAACTAATTCAAAAACTTTTAAACCTTGAGTGTTTGAAAGAAATTCTCATTTGGGGAGATCACATGGTAATGACACCAGAATGGAGCTCAAAAGAAGTAGAGAATCCCATCTTATTCATATACATGAATGCATGTTTTGTGTAAGCATTTAAATGAATAGTAGTCAAAATGAACTCCAAGATGTAGAAATGAAAGTTGTTTTGGTCTTGTTTTTTAGTGTGCTGTATGACGTTATTTCTTATTTCTTTTTTCCTTTTGTTTATCCCCTATAGTCACTGTTTGTTTGTTTTTTTTGTCTTGTATATATGTTTATCTGATGTGAGGAAGGGAAGGGGAATAACAAAATGGTGAGACAAAGGACAAAGGGTGAACCAATGCAACAGCAATACTCACGAGACACTATGCTAAAAACAAACTTTACAACTTGGGGAAAGGGAGTTGGGGAGGGAAAATGGGAGAAAAAGGAGGGAGGAGATAACAATGTTTAACAAGAAATGTACTCATTACCTATATAACTGTAACCCTTCTGTACATCACAGTAAAAGAAAAAATTTTTAATGTAAGAAAAGAAGAAAAAAAGATGCATTTTGTTGAATGGCAACTCTTTTGCACAACTTAAAGATAAGAATAAAAAATTAAAAAAAAAAAAAAAAACTTGCTCAATCTAAACAAGGCAGTGTTGAGTCTCATCTAAGGCAATGTGAGTGTATGCCCCCCTAGTGGCAGAATCTGATAACTACTGTGTTGTCCTTGTGGACACACTGGAAGCGACTGAAGAAGCCAAAGTTGTCCAGAAAAGAAAAAAAAAAAAAAAAGGAGGGAGGGACAGGAGTAAATGTGTGTAGACCAGAAAATAATGGGAGAGGACAGATAAAAGGAGAGAAGCCCAGTGACTCAGGCACTTCTAATCTTCAGAGTTATAAATCCAAAGGGAACAAACACCAATTTCCCTTTGCCAAGAAGGCAGCTGTCAATTTGGGAGGAGAGGGATGGAGCAAGCTCCCTAGAGCCCTAGACTGCTTCTATGAGTACATCTCACCTGTACTTGAAGGTAAACAACTTCTGGCAGATTGCATGTGGGAGTGAAAAGAAGGTAGCCATGATCCAGATCACAGCAATGTAGATGACGCCCTTAGTGATGGAGATCCGGGGTTTTAAGGGATGCATAATAACCTGGAAAATAAGCAAAGGGTATTTTACTAGGGAAAAAGATTGAGGCAAATGAGACACCTGTTGATGTAGGGTATATTTATTAAGTCAAGCAACATTTCCTTTCATTGTTGAGCCCCTGAGCTATGTTGGATACCTGGAGGTAGGGCACGGTTCTGCTTCATCCACAGTCATCTGGGATCACACTGGTTGACAGTTCAGAAGCCTATAGCTGCAGTGAATTGAACAGGGAGGTACCAAAGAAGAGGTCTAGCCAGCTTCCAGAACAAAGATGGCATAGGGAAAAGTTCATCCTTGGTCCCTACCTCTTCAAGATCTGCCTTCTAAAACTCTTGACCCTCTAAAACATGAAAGGGTCTGCAAAGGTCTGGTGCTGAGAGATACGGACAGTAACTACTCATGACTTATGGTAGGAGGGAAGGCTGCATTGTCACTTCTCAGAAGCTCGCAATAATATTTATTAAGGCTGCTGTTAACCTTGCCATGATGAGCCAGCATCCTTCACATAGAAGAGGCAGCATTGAAGGCCTTGGGCTGAACATTCATTGTGGAATTGCTATTGTAGGTTGGTCAATTCTAAAATGTTTAAGTATTATGGATTTATTTAAGACTTGGAGACATTTGAAGCTGAGGCTCATTCCCTCTTGCTAAAGATATTTGGGGATGGTTAGTCCCACTGCTGCTGCCTTGGGATACCATTTTAGGACATACAGGACACTCAAATGTTGCTTTTTCTTCCATTTCTTCCAAGGTTTTTTTGAGAGGATGTGATGAAGCTTCAGAGCACTTTTATTCTAGACTTTGCCATTTTTCATCCTTATACTCTGATGGGAGTCAGCCTAGGCAGAGGCCTTAACCCCTGCTCATGGACTATGTTGGCTTTAGGTCAGTCCTCCATAGATAAGCATATGTCATAGCTATGTGGTCACTATGAGCAACACTTTCCCTTTGTTCCTCAGAGTCACTCTCACTTCATGAGTCACCTCTCAGTTATCTGTGTTAAATGGCTTCAACATGGGCTAGGTAAAGGCAACCCATAGCTCTTGCTAACCTAGGGAGAATTAAGAAAAGAAAGGAAATATTGGTATATAAACTTTTACATTTTCCATAACATCCCTACAATAGAAACGAAGAGCTGATCTTTACAAAATTACAGCATTTCAGAGATTAAAGAGATTTTTTCAGTCTGGTCAACCCAATTTCTGATCTGATTCATGAATCCCTTCAAAAGGTATCCCTATCAAGGTGTCATTCAGACTTTCCTTAGATATGGCTGGTGACATGAAATTCATTACCTTTCAAGCAGCTTAGTCTACCTTTAGATATTTCTATTAAATATTCATTTCTCCCATTGAATCTGCGTTTTTAAGCTTCTGTCCCTTGATCCTTGGTACCTCTTGCTGCTTTTCAAGACAAATTCCAACTCTCTGTTTAACAATACTGGTGTGGATGTGTAGGTTCCTTTGAGTCATCTTGGAGTAGAGCAGTCTAGTGATGAGGGAGCCAGATAATCACAGTCTCCATTCTAGCTTCCTCATTCATAGTTACAGGATCTTGGGAAAGCTACACAGGCAATTCCCTGAGTCCTTGCTCCTTGACTCAGTATAGTCTAAACAGACAATATGGCGTACTAAATTAGCATGTGTAAGGCAACTAACCTAGAGCCATTCCCTTTCCAGGACTGATATGCTGGGGTCTGCTTTGGATTCCTTTCACTAAAGAGTCACCCATGGTGCTCACTGTGGACTCTTCCATGCACCACTCTGTCACCTACTCCTGCCACCTGGGCATCCCAGTTTGTTTACTCCTCCATGGTCTGGCCAGTACATATCCATCTTCCACTCTACAGACTTTTCTCTGACCTGCAATTATGTGCACTCTGGAAAACATTGTGGAGTTTCCTCAAAAAACTAAGCATAGAGCTCTCCTATGATCCAGCAATCCCACTTCTGGGCATTTACCCAAATGACCACAAACAAGGCCATACTAAAGCTACCAGCACAACCATGTTCATTGCAGTATTTTTCACCATAGCTAAGATACAGAACCAGCCCAGATGCCCCTCGGTAGAAGAATGGATCAAGAAAATGTGATACATATACACAATGGAATTTTATGCTTCCATCAGAAAGAATAACATTGCTCCATTCATAAGGAAATGGAAAGACTTGGAAAAAAATTATATTAAGTGAAGTAAGCCAGGCCCAAAGAAAAGTAAGTTGCATGATGTCCCTCATTTGTAAGAACTAGAATACATCTATGATATTTTTAACAGGAGATCTCAATAACTGCTTAGTGCATAGGACCATATATAACGAAGCATATCAACATGAACACCAATAAATGGAAACAAAAGGTTCTTATTAGACCTTGTATGTAGTTTGTTCTTTTTTTCTATTGTTTTAATTTTTTCATTTCTCTTAGTTTTTTGTACCTCATGTTTTGCATGTAAAATTATTCAAAATGTGGAAGAGAAAGGGAATCACAGAAACAACAGGAGAAATGATTAACCAAAGCAACATTGATATTCACTTGACACTTGGATATGACACTTGGATATGAACATTACAACTTGGCAGGGATGGAGATAGGGAGGGGTAAGTGGAAGATAATGAGGGATGTGGTAACAATGATTAAAAACAAATGTATTCATTATTTTACTTATGTAACTATAACTTCTCTCCTCACCACCTCTTCAATAACTTCAACTTCGCCTTACTACCATCAAAACAAGCTCATTCCTTTCTGAAACAGAAAATGCTAGTAGTTAGATTTAATTGGAAAAATCAAACTGGGAATAACTTTCTGCAACAACTAAAATAAAGGGTTTAATGATGTGCTCACTGAACACTGAGTTAGAACCTTGTCCTGAGAGTGTCTCTCAGAGACTCCAGGAAGAACAGAGTTGGGAGTGGGAGTGGGGAGGAGGGGTCTCACCTGGTGGCGGTCCACAGCAATGGCTGTCAGTGTCAGTGCTGAGACATGCAGGGAGCAGTACTGGGCGAAGCGGCTGACATGGCACATTCCCTTCCCAAACACCCACGTGCTGTTCACAAACCGAACCTAGAGACAAGCAACCAGAGGTCAGACAGGCCTTGACTGTCAATATATGTAAAATCTCTGGACATTTTACATTTGCTAAAATGGCTTCTAACTTTTGGGCTTAGTATAAAATCTACAGAACAATAGACAAAAAATGAACCCTTAGATATGTATTTTAATGTTTTTTTCTTTCATGCATGTGTTTCTAACGCATTTATAAGGCTATCTCTTTGTTGCTTTGTATGTCCCTCCCCCACAGTATTACCCCTGCTTTCACTATATTTGATGTCAGTATAACTTGTGGAGGAGATGGGGAAAAACCAGTTGTTTAAAGATACAGGTGGACCTGTTGCAACAATGAGAAGTACAAGTTGACATGTCCAAAACGAGCTTTACAATGTCGGTGCGGGGGGGGGGGGGGGGGGGGGAAAGGAGAAGGATTGGGATTGGGGGGGAGGGGGGAGGAAGGGAGGTGAAGGGTAAACAAAGGAGGAGGCTGCAATGCTTGGTAAGAAATGTACGCATTATCCTGCCCATGTAATTGTAACCCCTCTGTACAGTATGTTCACAAATAAAATTAAATTAAATTAAAAAAAAATGTCTGGAACAGTGATAGAAGGCTGTTGAAATAAGTAGTGAGCAAGAAAATGAGAGAAACTGATAGGTGGTAAATGGATCGTGGCACATTGCATGCATATATTGAATATCACAATGAAATTCCCTGTACAATTAATGAAAGGAAGAAAGGAAGGAAGGAAGGAAGGAAGGAAGGAAGGAAGGAAGGAAGGAAGGAAGGAAGGAAGGAAGGAAGGAAGGAAGGAAGAAAGAAAGAAAGAAAGAAAAAAAGAAAGAAGGGAGGGAGGGAGGGAGGGAGGGAGGGAGGGAGGAAGGAAGCAAGGAAGATGTATGTACTGGTGGCTCATGCTTATAATCCTAGCTACACAGGAGGCTGAAATCTGAGGATCATAGTTTGAAGCCAGCCCAGGCAGGAAAAACTGTGACAGACTCTTATCTCCAATTAACTACCAGAAAAAGCCAGAAGTGGCACTGTGGCTCAAGTGGTAGCATGTTAGCCTTGAGCAAAAAGGAGCTCAGGGATAGTGCCCAGGCCCAGAGTTGAAGCCCCAGGACTGGCAAAAGAAAAAGAAAAAATGAAAAGAAAGAAAATGTTGTATTTTATGTGTAATAAAATTTTTCTTGACCTATCAGAATTCAGTCTAGTGAGCAAATGTCTGAAAAGTTCTAATATAGCTGTGTTAGAATCTGTTTTTGTGTTTTGGTGGTGCTGGACACTGTACCATTCAGCTATATTCCAAACTCCCATGCTAGGAAATGTTGTCTAAACTGGTTTTGCAACTCATCATCTGGGAAGGTGACCAGGGGCCTAAATAAGTATAGATTGGAGTGGAGAAAGGTATAGCCCTAGGGGCAGACCTCATCCTCATCATGTTCATTCAGCACTATTTTCTCATTCAATTAATGCTTGAATAGTATGCCCAGGAGAGACTGTGTGTCGATTCTAATAGAGGAGCTTCCAATCTGGGCAGAGGAGGGCTTAAACAACTTGAATTAAAGACAGAAAGTAATCAGTGTGTGTGCTATGGAGATGAAGAGTGGGGGCTGGAGAGAGGTGGCGGGTAGAGATGGAGTGGACCAGAGAGAGAGGAGTGGCGATAGCCATTTAGCCTAACAGAAAGAATATTCTCTGTACTTAGAGCAGAATTTTGGCCAAAACACTAAGGTCTCTCTGAGGCCCATTTTTCCTCCTCTGTAAATCAGATCAAGCCTTTTCACATAGTTAGTAGGAAAATCAAATGAGATGGATTACACATGTAGAGAAGGTATGAGTATGTAGAGAAGGTATGAATATGCCTCTTTCATAGCAAGCATGTGTCATAATTTGCCATTGTGACAGTGTAAGCAGCATTAGAAATGAGGAAGGACTTATACATATGGAGATCAGAACAAAAGTCATAGATACTGTCTGGACACAAGTGACTCATGGCTACAATCCTAGCTACTCAGAGGCTGAGATATGAAGAAGAGCTGTGGCTCAAGTGGTAGGAAACCAGCATTGGGTGAAAAGGCTAAGGGTTGGTGCACAGGCTCTGAGTTCAAGCTCCAATACGTTCCCCACACCCTTCCCTCCCTTCCCCCCCAAAAAAAAGAAGAAAAGAGACATAGACACTAGGCCAGAATTCTGAGTGAGTTGATTTAGCTGGCATGCACATAAGAAAGGCGGACAAGATTGGCCAAATTATAACACAAGGACAGCAGGCCCAGACTGTTTTTCCAGGTCAATGAAAAGATTCAAAGCCATTTGAGGCTTTTGAGCAGCCCAGAAACATTACTGAGACAGCAATCTTCAGATACTCCTGCTTTTCATTCCCCATACTCAGTGAGTGACCAAATTCAAACCTGTAAATATTTTTCAAACCAGTTCCCTCTTCTTCAGACCCAAGGCCATGGGGCTATGACAGCTTTCTGCAGTCTTGCCTCTCAATAATTCAGCTTGTATATTGCTACCAGGATTTCTTAACCAGGGCTGGGAAGTTGGCTCAGTGGTAGAGCGCTTGCCTTGCATACCTGAAGCCCTGGGTTCGATTCCTCAGCACCACATAAGCAAAAAGAAAAAAGCCAGAAGTGTTGCTGTGGCTCAAGTGGTAAGCGTTAGCCTTGAGCTGAAGAGCTGAGGGACAGTGCCCAGGCCCAGAGTTCAGGCCCAAAAAAAAAGAAAAGGATTTCTTAACCACAGATCAGATGGCTGTCATCATCCAGCTGAGCATTGTCACAGTTCTCGGGACAGAGCCAGCTGCACATGAATATCCCAGCCCAGCAAACATGGCCCCAGTCTCTTTTTCTGGCCTATCTCCATCTCTTGAGCCCACCCTCACTGCCATCCCTCTGCTGTGCCTCTTGTCTGCTTTTCCAGCTACACAGAGCTTCAGTACACAGTGAAATTTGCTGCCTCCTCGCCTTGTTCTCCCTGTCTGCACTGAGCATTCATCTCAACTCTTGACCTGGTAGACTGCCATTCATCTAGGTCACATGGAAATGTCATGTCCTTTGAAGGTTTCCTTTGACCCAGTCATGGCACTCTGGCAGGTCAAAATGAAAGCCTGTCTTCTGTGAGCTACATTACATCCTGTGTCTGTCCCTGCCATTGTTTGGTTTGTCTAGCCTAGCACTAGGCTTCATTACAACTATGATGTATGAAGTAGAGGAAGGTAGATTGGGGAAGGAAGATACTGTTACCAACCAGCCAAAGGCTGAGTAGACTGCATGGCTCTAAGACCCTCCCCCCAAAAAACCTTCTCTCTCATTGTCATCACTTTCAAAACTCTAACATGAGTTTGGATTGGGTCCATAGGTCATGTTCAAGGGTTTGCTTGTGCCAGAGGGAATACTGAGTTTTCAGGACCTCGATGTCTTTTCTTGAAGGAGACACCCTGGGACTGTCAGATCTGTGGTCTCCTAGATCATTCTTGGGTCTTGTACATATCCACATGGCTCTGGGCAGCAGCGCTATGGTTATGTTCCCGGCTCTCCCTGCTCTAACCTTGGCATTTCCATTTCTCAGCTTAGAAACCGAGAAAGTGGAGCCAGAGCTTCTGCTTTCTTATGTACTAAGAAGAAGGGGTGTTAGTCAGAAACCTTTCTATCCTTGGTCAGTGCTCAGTGGATCCAGGGGACCATCAATAGGTTACGTGTAAGCTGGAGGGCAAACAGGACAACTTCATGTTTGGAGCAGCAGAATCAGAACATAGTTCAAGAATGTTCCCCTTTCCTATGAGTAACAGACACTGGACAGACACTGAACTTCAACTAAAGATTGTAACTCATTATGGATAAAGGTTGAACCTCTCTTTACCTTAGCTTCCTTAGCTATAAAATATAAGTAATGTTCTCATAAGAGAACAAGAGACTGGATGAGTGTTTTGAAGAGAAAAGATTTAGAAGAACATCCACATAGGTAGAAACTCTTGAAGGGGTTCATCCTTTAGTTGTTGTCTTTCATTTCTGTGTGTGTGTCTTTGTGTGTGTGTGCATGTGCGTGTGTGAGCGTGCTCATGCATGCTCACGCTGAATAGGGGAGAGACAGAGAGGCATGAACAGATTCTGACTGGTAGTAAATAAGTCATTTGTTATTCTATAAATTGAAAACAAAACTCATGTTACAGAAACCTGTTGTGTATCTGTCCTTATGATTGCTAAGTCATAGTCCTCGTTCTAAACCCACGTGAACTGCCCCCTGGCTTGTGAATGACAGAAATGGCATCACTGATGCTGGTAGTAAGGGCTGGAGGAGAAATACCCATGTAGGAAGGCCTCAGACCTGCCTAAGTCTGGGCCCAAGTCCACCTCATCCTCATCTTATTCCAGCACAGGCCTTGGGCTCACACACACAACCACAGATGGGAAATGCAATCCAGCTAAGCAGCCTAGGGAAAGGCAAAGTTTCATTGGCAATTATTGTTTGAGTGCAGCAAACAGCAGCACCCTGTGAATGGGGAAGAGGAACAGCAGTTAGAAGGCTCACTCAAGAGTAGGGAGATGACTTGATGTAATAATTTTAGACCTAATCATTTCATCTGCTTCATTTACTGCTTGGTAAGTTTTTAAAAAAATGTCCAATGCAATGAGTTCAAACAGCAAATGTTCCCTTATTTGCAGCCAGCTGCGGACACTCAGATGTCTGATCCAATGTCACGAGCTGAAGAAAGTAATGGAGAAAAAAGAAGAGCGGGAGGGGAGGCAGGAGTCAATGTGAGAGAAAACCACAGAAGGAGAATAAGTGGGGAAGAGAGAGAAAAGTAAAGCCATAGAGGGACTGATCAGAAAAGAAATAAAAAAGGAGATGGGGCGGGGGGGGACTTGAGAGAGAGACAGAAGGACTGAGAGACTGACCGAAAGACGGAAAAGCAGAGGAGAGAGTGCAAAGTTAGAAACTAGAAATGAGTAGAGAGAAGAGACGTGAGGCTGAGGGTGAAGACAGAAAGGCAGACGCAGAGGTGCCAAAACGGAGCGAAAGAGGAGGATGGGGTGGGGGAGACCCAGGAAGAGATGGAGAATGACAGGAAGAGAGGAGAGAGGGAAGGGGGGACAGAGGGGAGATTGAGGGGTCACCGAGGGCTGAAGCCACCCCCCCCCCCGCCCCGGGCCGGGCCTCACCAGCGTGAAGGGGGTGTTGAGCAGCGTGATCATGAGGTCGGCCACCGCCAGGTTGACGAGGAAGAGGCTGGTGGCCGAGTGCAGGCGCCGGTTTTTGAAGATGACATGGCACACCAGCACGTTGCCGAAGAGCGAGAAGACGATGATGAAGGAGTACGCCACGATGAGCAGGGCTTGGACCGTGGGGTTCTGGGACTCGGCCCCGTAGCGCCTCCGGCCCACGAAGTTCTGCCAGTCGGAGAAGCTGTAGTTGTTCCAGGAGAAGAAGCGCGAGGTATTGGGCGCCGCCGGGGCCGTGTCCGCGCTGGGCTCGGGGCCCCGGCCCTCGGCGCGCTCCGCGGCTTCCCCCGCCTGGAGGAGGAGCAGCAGCAAGAAGTGCGGGCGCATCTTGCGGGAGCGCACGGTCCGGGGATCCCTGACTCCCGTGCGCGCGCGGGGCGCGGGGCGCGGGGCGCGGGGGGCGCAGAGCCAGGCGCGCGGGGCGCGGGGCGCGGGGGGCGCAGAGCCAGGCGCGCGGGGCGGGCAGGGCAGGCTGGGCGCAGAGCTGGCCCGCAGCCCTCACTGGCTCCACACGCGGGATTCTCCCCGCACTTTTATATCTCTGCTCCCCCAGGGCGCCTCTGACGATTGGGCAGAGCAGCGGCTCTGGCGGGGCGCCGGTGACTCAGTGATGCGCTCGCTCTCGCTCGCTCTGCCGGTACCTCACTCCCCGCTCTCCGGGAGGACTCGAACTCACACACTGGCCCAGGGTCTGCTGCGTTCCCACTGATGCCGACGAGCAGCTGGAAAGGGGCGCGTGGGGACCGTGTGAGGGGCGGGGTCTCGGGCAGGGCTGGATCTCAGCAGGGCGCCTAAGCTGATGAGGACACCGTTCCCAGACCGGTTTCATCTTTAACAGTTTCACACACACACTGACTGCTTGCTCAGGAAATCGCGCTCATCTGGCTTCATTCCCACAATGAGCACTCAGCTGCCCGAACCTGAGGGAGACCAAGCATCCCGTCTAGGTCGAACAGCAGCTTCCTCACTTCCTAGCAGTGTGAGATACCTGTGTGAGGTATTTCATATTCCTGTCCTTGGTTAACAGCTCTCCTTTCCTCTATGGTAGAGTTCTTAGACACACACCCACTTTATAATCTTCCACCACATAGTGGTGGTGACAACACATACAATAATTTCTTGGCTTCTTGTAATGATGCCCTGGACTTCCCATACACACTAGACTAAGAAGTCTGCTGCGCATCCCCCATACACTAGACTGAGGGTCATCTGGCCTCGCCAAGCCATCTTCGCTCGGGGTTGACCTGAGTAAGTCACTCAAATCCAGATACCTTCTGAGCTGTCCACTTCGTCCTGGGAGAATGTATATCCTTGTCCCATCCAAATTCTGGGGAGCAGGCCCCTCCCACCAAACTCCTTTCTTCTCACCGGTCTTAAGAAACTCCACCCTCCTCTCATGGGAAACCTTTCTATTCCTTTCAGCTCCTGGAACACGGTGGTCTTGATAAAGAATTAACAAGTGTGGATCTATGTCACTACAGTGAAATACAAGACGGTACTGATGCAGGTTAGAGTCAAGGAAGTCTCAAGAGTCGGCAAACTTCAACTTAGTCCTGAAGGACCAGCAGGAGACAGATCAGAGAGGAAAAAGAAGAGGGAAGAAGATGCGGTTGTCCAAGGAGATGTAGTCATCAGCCAGATGCTGCTGGCTCACACATGTAATCCTACCCACTCAGAAGGCTGAGATCTGAGGATTATAGTTTAAAGCTAGCCCAGGCAGGAAAGTCCACTAGACTTTTATCTCCAATTAACCACCACAAAACCTGTAAGTGGAGCTGTGGCTTAAATGTTAGAGTGTTATCCTTGGGGGGGGGGGGGGATCTCAAGGACAGCACCCAGGCCCTGAGTTCAAGCCCCACTACTTGCACAAAAAGATAGAGGGGAGGGAGAGAAGGAGGGAGGAAAGGAGGGAGGGAGGAAGTCATGATCATGTTAAGGATTTGAACAATTTCCTAAGGGTAATAGGAATGTATAGGAGGGGTTTAGGTAATAAGTGCATTATCCTGTTTGGATTTTAGAACACTCCAGCGTGTGAGTAGAGAATTTGGAGGCTGTGGCTTAAAGCTGGTTTGAAGGCTGTTCACAGCCAGCGTGGAAGTGAGCCCTGAGGCAAGGTGCTGGCAGTGGGAGAAGAAATGGTGACAGGGGTTGGAGGGAGGAATCAAGAATGTTTAATCAACCTGGTTGAAAAGCCAATCACCAGAAAAGCATTAAAAAAAATCTTGCTTTGGACTTAATCTTGTCTATAGCTATTAGCTTTCTTCATTTTTATTTTTTATTTTTGGCAGTATAGTCGTTTGAACTCAAGGCCTTGTGATTGCTAGAAAGGACCTCTACTTGAACTATGTCTATAGCCCCAATTTTGTTAATCAGTCAAGTTCTAAGAACTCCATTTTTTTTTAATTTTATTTTATTGTAAAGCTACTATACAGAGGGTTACAGTTACATGAGTGAGGTAATGAGTACACTTCCTCTTGAACATTGTTACCCCCTCCATTGTTTTCCCCCTACCATCCCCTCCCTCCCTCCCTTCCCCGAGGTTCTTTTTTTTTTGATTGTGATTAAATGATTACATAATTTCAAAGTCACAAGTTCATTCTAACTTCCCTGGAGCAAATTGTCTACCACAGTCTGTAATATATAACAGTGTTCACATGTTATATACCATGTTTGTGATCAGCAGCATGGGGATATTTAGTAGTGGTTCAACCAGATGAGCGGGAGTTCTTTGTTTCTTAAGTCCTGTTAGTTTTGTCGTATCACCTAACCTTTTGGATTTAGCATCCACTTATCAGGGAGACCATGTACCGTTTGTCTCTTCGTTCTTGGCTTACCTCGCTCAACATGATTCCTTCTAGCTCCATCCATTTCCCTGCAAATGCCATTATTTTGTCATTTCTAATGGCTGCATAATATTCCATTGTGTATAGATACCACAATTTTTGGATCCATTCATCTGTGGTGGGGCATCTAGGTTGTTTCCATATCCTAGCTATTGCGAACAGTGCTGCAATAAACATGGAGGTGCACGTGTCCTTGTATATTGGTTCCTGTTGTTCAGGGTAGATGCCTAGAAGTGGTATGACTGGGTCGTAAGGGAGGTCAATCTTTAGCTTTCTAAGGACCCTCCAGACTGCTTTCCAAAGTGGTTGTATAAGTGTACATTCCCACCAACAGTGTAATAGGGTTCCTCTTTCTCCACATCCCCTCCAGCATTTGTCGTTGGCTGATTTGTGGATGTGGGACATTCTGACTGGGGTAAGGTGGTATCTCAGGGTTGTCTTTATTTGCATTTCCTTCACCACCAGGGATGATGAACATTTCCTCATGTGTTTCTTTGCCATTTTTCTTTCTTCATTTGAGAAGTCCCTCTTTAGTTCCCTTGCCCATTTAGTAATTGGTTTGTTAGGTTTGGGAGGGATTAGTTTCTTGAGTTCCCTGTATATACAGGATGTTAACCCCTTGTCTGATATATTGCTGGTAAATATTTTTTCCCAATTAGTTGGCTGTCTTTCTAGCTTAGTTGCGATAGATTTAGCTGTGCAGAAGCTTTTTATTTTAAGGTAGTCCCATTTGTCGAGTCTCTCTCCAACTTGTGACCCTGGGACTCTGTTCAGGAAGTTCCTTCCTGTGCCTATTAGTTCAAGTGTCTCTCCTACTCTGTCCTGCAGTAGTTTCAAAGATTCAGGTTTAATGTTAAGGTCTTTAATCCATTTTGAGTTGATGTTGGTGCATGGTGATAGGCTGGGGTCCACTTTTAGTTTTCTGCATGTGGCTGCCCAGTTTTCCCAGCACCAGCGGTTGAAGAGGCTGTGTTTCTTCCATTGTATGTCTTTGGCTCCTTTGTCGAATATCAGCTGGCTGTAGGCCTGTGGATTTATATCTGGATCTTCTATTCTGTTCCATTGGTCTTCGGGTCTGTTTTTGTGCCAGTACCATGCTGTCTTTGTGATTATAGCTCTGTAGTAGAGTTTGAAGTTCGGCATGGATAGCCCTCCCATATTGTCTTTATCCCCTAGAATTGTTTTGGCTATTCTAGGTCTTTTGTTGTTCCATATAAATTTTTGGACTGTTTTCTGTATTTCAGTGATGTACGTCATTGGGATTTTAATAGGAATTGCATTGAATTTGTATATTAGTTTTGGAAGTATCACCATCTTTACTATATTAAGTCGGCCTATCCAGGAGCATGGGAGGTCTTTCCATTTCCTAGTGTCTTCTGCAATTTCTTTCTTTAACTTTTTATAGTTCTCATTAAATAGTTCTTTTACATCTTTGGTTAGGTTAATTCCTAAATATTTTATTTTTTGGGAGGTTATTGTGAATGGGGTTGCTCCCTTTATTTCCCTCTCTTCCTTTACGTTATCAGTGTATAGGAAGGCAACTGATTTTTGTGGGTTTATTTTGTATCCTGCTATTTTGCCGAAGTGACTTATGATTTCTAAAAGTTTGGGGATGGAGTTTTTGGGATCGTGGAGGTATAGTATCATGTCATCTGCAAAAAGGGATAGTTTAACTTCTTCTTTCCCTATGCGGATCCCTTTAATGTCTTTTTCTTGCCTTATTGCCCTGGCTAAGGGTTCTAGGACTATGTTGAAGAGGAGTGGAGACAGTGGGCATCCTTGCCTTGGTCCTGTTTTTAGGAGGATTGGTTGTAGCTTTTCCCCATTAAGTATAATATTGGCTATTGGTCTGTCATAAATGGCTTTTATTGTTTTTAGAAATGTTCCTTCTATTCCTATTTTCTCCAGAGCTTTTAGCATGAATGAATGTTGAATTTTATCAAAGGCCTTTTCTGCATCTGTGGCGATAATCATGTGATTCTTGACCTTGGCTCTGTTGATATGCTGGATTACACTTATTGACTTACGTATGTTAAGCCATCCCTGTGTCTCTGGGATGAAGCCTACCTGATCATAGTGTATTATTTTTTTTATGTGTTTCTGGATTCTGTTAGCTAGAATCTTGTTAAGGATCTTTGCATCTGTGTTCATCAAGGAAATTGGCCTGTAATTCTCCTTTTTGGTTGGGTCTTTGCCTGGTTTGGGGATGAGTGTGATATTGGCTTCGTAGAATGAGTTTGGGATAGCTCCCTCCTTCTCTGTTTCTCTGAAGAGCTTGAGGAGTATGGGTATTAGTTCTTCTTTAAAGGTCTTATAGAATTCTGCTGTGAATCCATCTGGTCCTGGGCTTTTTTTTGTTGGAAGACTTTTGATAGCTTCCTGTATCTCATTATAGGATATTGGCTTATTTAATTGGTTAACTTCTTCTTTGCTCAGTGTGGGTAACTTGTATTTCTCTAAAAATGCATCCATTTCCGCCAGATT